AGAGCAGGAAATAGCCTTTGACTATTCTCTTAAATAAATAATATAATGTTTTCAACAGTTTTTAGCATTAAGCATCAGAAATCGCTGCAGTTAATTTCTCACAGGCTGTTTACGTTTCCATAAAACTCTGATCTCAACCCCGCACGACTTTATTGGGCTTGGTTTAGTCTTCCTCACACGGCTCAACATGTTGTAGGAAATACGGTTCCTTTTAAACTAACTTACCACACCTCGTGTTTCCTCTCACTTCGTTGACACTGAGAAGAGCAAAATGCATTTTCATTTTTCTCTCAGTAACAACTTCCACCGCAAAGAGCATTGTGGTTAATCTCACCTGGTAATTCCTATTTATGGTGGGCTTACAGAGCAGAAAAGGATCTGACTTTCAGTATGAGGTGCTGCCACCTGTTGGTCACCAAGGGATTTCAGAGGAGGCTCAACTCCAGCACGCTTAATTTGACCAATTGTTGGAGCAGCACAGAGGCATGAAAGTTGCATTCAACCAAACTATCCTTATTTGTCATAATATATGCACAACTAGCTTTGAGCATTTCTGGTGTTTGGCCAGTACCATAGCAATAAACTACCAATGCATAAGACTGATCTTAATTAATCTCATGATAAATAAAAATTAGCTTATATTTAGAATTTTGCTATTTTTGTATTTTCTATTCTGATGTTTTTTTGTTTTTTTTTAAGAGCAATTAAAAGCAGTCTGAAAACTGATTTTGAGACTTCATGATCCATTTTATTTATGGTTTCAATTGTCTGTGTGTTTATTTATTTCTGTTTCATTTCAAATATCCTCATGTCCCAGTGTTAAGTGTTCTCTACAAAATTAAAGTTTATTGGTCTTCGAGAGGGCAAACTGGAAAAGGGCCTCAAAAGAGCAATATTGTCATTTATTGCGATAATTACATGGACAATTTATCGTCCAGTAAAATTTGTGATTGTGACAGGCCTATTAACCGTCTCATTTATTTTCATTAAACAAATTGACAGCATGATGCTGTCTCACGTGAGGAATAGCTCCTTTATGCTTAGCTGGTGTGTGCATTTTCACCTCCCGCTTCTCTCTTTCACCTCCTTGTTGTCAATTTTGTGACACACTCGTCATCTCATTATTTCAACAAATTGAGTTTTGGAGATGCTTCGTCATGACAAACACATTACCATTTAAAAGAGCACAGCCGCTCCACCTGTGCACTTGAACCTTATATGTGCACATCCAGGAATAAGTCAATCTTAACAAGCCTTTGTACAAACTCTGTCCTCTCCTTGTGGTCACATGGTCAACTGTAATTAGCTCAGTCTGCGAATGTTAATACTGTCTGTGTGTTATGTGCCGGCCACATTCTTCTCAGTACCCTGGAGCCCACACAGTAACACACCAATACAAACATATGCATCTACTTAAATACATTTAGCCCGAGTGGATGCTTTCATACAGATATAAAGAAACACACACACTTGGAGATAGTGATCACACACCCCATCGCCGTCCCTCCTCCATGCCATTAGGCCGCCTGCCAAACACTGACCACTTTCCACTGAAATCGCAACTGTTCCCAGACGCTGCTGAGAAATGGCACGTAGTGCATTTCTGATGTTTTTTTTTCCAAAAATGTATTCATCATACACATATGCACGCACAACACAGGCGCACGCGCACACACACACACACACACACAAAAGCAAGGGAATTTAAAGTTGCTGGAATATTTTGAGTTTGATTGGTTCTCATACACACTCAAAGGTACTTGGAATGCCTCTGAGCTGCTCTTCCTCGTTAAAGTTGTGCACTGCAAAAACACAAAATCTCACCAAGTCTTTTGGTCCAGTTTCTAGATGAACAAATTTTACTGTTACAAGTGACTTTTCAGCAAGACAAATAAGCTTGTTTTAAGTAAATGACTCCTTGATGTTGATCTGACAATGGAACAAGTACTTTTTCATCAATAGTACACAATTATTTACTTAAAATAAGCTCCTTTATCTTGCTGAAAAGTGACTTGTGAGTTAGTTTTCCCCAAAAACCCCCTCTCAACTAAATACCCCAACTGTTTGGAGTTGCTTTTGAAATGATAATCAATTAAACATTAATCAACATTTTGATGTGTAATGATGGCACTTGACAGTTGTTCACTGTGTGCCCTACAGCTTTGCATTTTATTGTGTTTTTATTATGCGAGGCTTAAACGTGCTGTAGAGATTGATTTAATGATCTAATTTCAAGTATAATCTGAGGTCTGCATCAGAAACTAGACAAAAATACTTGATAAGATGTTATATTTTTGCAGTGTGGTGTTGGTAGTATTTAGTAGTTCATCTCTCCTGAATGCTGTCGGTCATCTGCTGCTTTGTGAATATGAGAACCATAACCAGTACAGAAATCCTCACACCTGAGCTGTTTTCCCTTCACAGGCTGGTGATTGACTGTTGGCTCAATAAACTTTCTTCACTTGCTTTCGGTGTTCATTCACTGCAGTTAAGATATTTAATAAACTGCTGACACTGATTGGTATCTCTTTATAATTGCAATGTTGTATCGCTTATGGAAACACAGTGAACTTTAAAAGCAGGTCATGATATGTGAGATCCACTGCAATGCACAAAATGTAGAATCTGAATCATTTTGGAGATTATTTTAAAAGCAACAGTATGTGCTTAGATCAAGATGGGTCTCTATTTTTATGGAGTGGTTATTGTACTTTATGTGTTTACCATCATGCAGTTTAACTTCAGAAGGACAGTGTGGTCAGCAGATACTCTTGAAGAACAGGGATCTGTCAAAGTTTTAATGTCCGTGATTTTGTGGCTAATTAGCTTAAATGCTGGGTGTGTAAGAATTGTTCTGTGTTTTGATCATCAAGTGAAAGGATCATTTTTTCCACATATCTAAGGCAATTTAAGAAGTAAGAGGTTGGATTGGATTTTTATTTTATAGGATTAAATATCTGCTATAAAAGCACTTCAGACATCAATATAAATAGCCATAAACTCCCACTGTAACAATACCAAACAACCCCACTGCCAACACCGTTGTCTACTTTATTCCTATGCGGTTTTTCTCATTTTCTCTTGCCAGAAAATGTTCTGCATGAAAAAAGGTTTCACTTATGAATGTCTGAATCAATTGCAGACAAATGTTTGAACTGTGCTGCACTTGGCGATGGGTTTATTTACCGTAAGAGGCTAGTGTAATTTGATGCCTCACTGGAAGGCATACTGGTAGTGAAGTAGAACGTGCCAATTATGCTAACAACAGCATGACTGAATAATCTTTGACCACAGAGAAATGAATGGAGTGATAATCAGCTTCATTATCTGAAGGCTGATATTCTGTCTCTGGCCATGCTTATCCCTCTGCGTATTTCACAAAGCTCAGTGCCAGCATACATTAAAGCTAAGTGGTAAATGTTTCAGCATTTGTAAATGCAAGTGTTTAATACTGCTGCTCAGTAACACACCTGTTAGTCAGGTGTAAGAGCTTTACCTGGGTTCTGTATTTTTGAATATTCTCAAAATAGTTCACTTTATTCATTTCCTTCTCTCAGAACTGGTGTCAGTGAGTCCGGCTCGCAGGTCAGACTCTCTCTTTTCTGTGTTACTCTGAAAAGACCGCTCCAAAATACTGACTTTGTCAACCTTAAGCCATTTTGTCACTAATTTGTGGTACAATTAGGATCACACTTTAACTTCCTAGCTGATGTCTTGAGATGTTTCAATATTCATATCTAATCTTCTGTCCTCATGACAGACATTTATGTTTTGTGCCAAGCGTCACTGTGGCGCTCATTATAGCCAAACACTTGGCTTTTAGTTTCATCAGATAACAAGGACATTTTCCTACAATTGAGGGTGATCGTCTCTGTGTGTGTGTTTGAAAACAGCAGTCTGGCTAAAGCATGACGGCTAATGCACAAATGAGCAAGTAATAGCAAAAAAAAGGCTCAATTTTTGAAAAGGGTTTTCTCTTTATTTGGTGGTGGAAGGTTAAGGCACACAAAGACATTTTAGTGCTGTTTCCACATGTTGTATTTGTTTGATGTCAACCCCTAATACAACAAAAAGGTCTAACGTTACAAAGGAAACTGACTCATTTATTCATGACAAGTTTTGTTGTCCCAAGTGAGGTTCATTAGGGGGAGCTTTTGAAAACCAAGACTCCTCAAAGTCTGCAGAAATTCTTCCCATTAAGTTACATATTTTTGTAGATTAACAGTTTAGCTCTGCTATTCAAAGTAAATCTTGTTTGAAGCAGGATAGATGTAGCAGGCTGGGCTTACGGCCATTTTTTATGTCTCTGCTTTTGTACTCAGCATTTTTCATGTTTTTAATTTGTTAATAGCAGCTCAGTTTTGCTTCAGTAGTGAGTAGCTGCATGTGAAAAGATGCTTTGCTATGTTTTTTGTCCATAGCAGTAGAATCATTTTGGTGAAACATTCTGCTCAGGAGGGAGAGAAATACACAGGAGGCTGGAGTGAAAGCAGAGCAGGAGTCATTTTACCTTTGTGTAATTTCACGCAGAAAATGACACAAACTTGTATGTTTTTTTTATTTACATGTAAAGAATGCTTTACACATTTTTTATTGAAAAATGTATTTTTTATGATTTCGATAATTATGATGACTTTTTATGAGCCTCACGGTGATTTGTCGGCGCAGTGTGTAATTTCCGTGTACACTGGACTTTTGCAAGAAAACGATTTTCCCAATTAGGCTCGATGTTGAAGTGAAGACATTTTGTTTTGTTTCATTTTCATTGTTTTTTAGATGTTGACAAAGTTATGTAAAGGCAGAGTTTTATAAAATGTGAACATTAAAAACAGACTGGAAAATGAACGCTGAACGAGAAAGAAAGCGTAATAAATACTAAATGCCTCGTTGAGCAACAGCCAATAAACTGTGAAAAGAATAAACAAAGGTCTTCTCAGAGCTTACAATTTTAAACCTTTGTTCTCAGCCCATTCCTTTTTCCTCCTTTCTTTTTCCCCCAGGTGAAAATATGGTTCCAAAACAAACGGTCAAAGTACAAGAAGATCATGAAGAACGGTCCTTGTGGAGCCGAGGGAGATCACCTCGCCCCGCCGCCGCCTGCCTCCTCCTCTCCATGCTCTCTGTGGGACATCAGTATGGCTGCCAAAGGCCCGCCTGTCCACTCTGGAGGATACATGAACAATTTTGGACACTGGTACTCTGGACATCAGCAGGACACCATGCCAAGGACTCAGATGATGTGACTGACGGAACAGACGCCAGGCCTCTTGCATCAATTGTGGATATTAAACCAGCAAGCTGAACTGGAAAGTACATGGCCACATGTGCGTTACATTGCTTACAGTCTGAGCCACGTTGGAGGTAAAAATAGTATTGAGTGGCACATCCTGCTGCGCCGAGGAAGACATATTGAGAAACTTCTTGCTGAACACTGCAGCCCTGCCAAAACAGGACGATTACAGGAGAGCAGGAACTGCTGAAGTGTCCCTTTCAAGCTGTTGTTGAAATAAACTTATGGCCATGCAATGTGTGTTTTTCCACAAAAACGTATATAAAAAAATCATTGTTTTTTTAGGGCTTTCTAATATTTTTTTGTAAGAACTGTTATAATTCAGTTAACCTACTTGTTTACGGATGTGGACAGTTTGAAGAGCTGAATGAAATAAAGAGTTCACGGGGAGATGAAGTCTGAGCGTCTTTTTTGTTTTTGTTCGCTTAAAAATCCAGCATTAATTGAATTCCGAGCCATTCAATAAATGAAAACGTCACTGAAAAGCCAATTTATTTCAGAAACTTCATCATTAAATGTAACACCTGATATAGACTAGTTACATCCAGGCTGTTTACTCCTTGCAGTTAATGAAGACATGACATGTAAAATTAAAAATGAAAGAAAACATTTTATATTACAGCAAATACATTTAAATCTTGCCAAAAGATTTTTTTCAAAAAGGAACTTTTGATCTGACAAAAAGTCTCATCAGAAGTCATATTCTAATTTATCAGTGGAATTGATCTCCAGCCTTTGAAATAAATTATAAAAAAAAAAAATCAGAGAGGAAATCGCTGCTGCATCTCCAACTAACCTGGAATTATGACCTAAACACTGTTTGCTCTGCTGCCGAACATTTGATCACAGCTCAGTCAGACTGAAGTGTCTGTCCAAAATGAAAAGGCGTTCTCTGAAAATAATGTTTTATCACCCTTTCAATTATTGTGCTGCTGTTTACAGTCAAATCATCTATAAAGTTGAGTCACATTATGAGACAATGAAGATGAAAGCGTTTGAAATCCTTTCAAAAAACGTTTTGATTGCTGATGCATGTTGGATCACTAAACGATATATCGAATTAAAATGCTGAATGAAAATGTGAGGTTAATGAATCGCATTAATCACCCTGAACTGATTTTTGTGATCGATTAATGGTAAATTGAGGTGCACAGACTTAAAAAAAAAAAGAAAAGGTCATTTGCTGAAAGAGCAACACAGTAATGAAGTCAAAACTGCAAAAACATTGATACATTTTGCAAAGGAGATAAAAGCAATGTTTCGTCTGTCAATCTGTTCCACCCAACACTCTGCAAGTGGCGTTTTAAACTTCACCTGCTGCAAATGTTACAAAAACAAATAAATAAATAAATAAAAAAAACCTCAAATGAAGCACAGTTTGCTTGAACAAAAGGTAAAGGTGAAAGGTTTTATCGTGAATAGAAAGCAGACAATATTCATATTTGTCTTCGCAGTGGACGTAAATCCTCTTTTACACGTAGAAGCTTCTGATGCAGACATGAGAAACGTTTTGCTCCTCGGCGTTGGCCCGATTGGTTCCCGGTGGCCTGAGGCAGTTTTGTCTGCAGTCATAAATCAGAAGATGGAGGTCACGTCTCTGCGCCCAGGCAAACATCTGGAAACGCAAAAAGACTTGTCAGACACCGCCAATGATTTTTTTTTTTAAATGACCGCGTCAATTAAAGGTAATTTAGGATACAGCTTGTTAAATAAAGCTTTCGCTCTGACGGCCTAATTATCTGTAATTGTTAGTGGAGGGAATATCTTCCCGCCGTGGGTCCTGAAGGAGAAGCCCTGGAAGCTCCTGCATCAATCTGGATTATTGAAGGGTAATCCTTTCACTGCTAACCAAGCTGGTCAATTATCACAGCAGAGACAAACAGTTCATCTGCTGGTTTCTATTATGTGAAGTTTTGGCAATATTTTGTAGAGGGAAAAAACACAAAACATTTTTCATTTTTTACTCTTATACATGTTAAAGTGGATGAAACGTGTGAACTCACTTTAATCACTTCTTGTCTTAGCTGAAGATCAGAGATTTCCACAGGGATCAAAGATATATATCGCAAACTTTTACTTTTTATAGAAAGACTTTATTTTTTTATTCTTTAAGGGATCGTTTTTAAAAAAAAAAAAATCATAGGACGCATTGACTGTCTGACTTCGATAAATCACCGTTTTGTTGGAAGGTTTTGATCTACAGTTGTACTCAGGTTGTACGTCCACATTATCCTGGCAGAATTTCTGACTCTTTAGTTTTTAAAAACTAACTATAAATCGCCTAAATCTATTTCAGAGTTTATATTTATAGTTCTGAAAGATAAGCTCAACAGTGACTGTTAAAGAGTTGGTGAGTTTGTGGTCCCTCAGGGACCCATATGTGTTTCATCCAGCGCTGTGCTGATGCTGCTGGATTCCAGGAGGAAGGACAAAAATGATCAGAGGCTTCGCAGGGGAAGATATTTGAGCTTCATGAACCAGTAGAGGGGCATAGAAAGCCAATGGGTTTGCTAACCAGCAGCATCCAATCTTGAACTGAAAAGTGACAAATGAGGAATCCTGTCATAAACGAGCCAAGGCCACATTCTACTTGACATCTTAGCAGCTTCACTGCCGTGAAGCTGTTAAGATGTTTCCGTTAAATAGGAATGTGATTAAAGTCACTAGTGAATAAGTTTGTCAAATCATCAAAAAAAAATTATAAAAAATCCTCTGGCTACTTCCTGTCATCTTTGTCTTTTAAGCCAGTAGCTGATCACAATGGATGCAAAAAAACTGTTTCTATTACAGTTTTGCAAAACACATTTTATCCAAGCACAAAAACTTTTCAGCAAAAAATTGGAGTTTTTACTAAATGCCTGCCGCTCCATTGAGCAAAATTTTGTAATTCCAACTTGTGCGGATGGATTAATCAGCGAAACACAGCTGCTGGATCTGGACGGGCCAAACATCACTTTCCTAACATCAACACCATCAAGACATTCTGAGCAGATCTCAGTGAATGGAGAGTTTTTCTTTTGGTTTGAGGTTTAGCTGAGGTTTGAGGATTGAGGTTCCTGATTGGTTCAAGCAAGACGACCCACTAATGTACTCAGGGCCTTTTGCTGAGAAGAACGGGGAAGTCTGCCATCTGACAAAACAAAGCTCCTCACCAATGCGAGGCTAGCGACGGCGTTCAGATTCCTCTAACAGTTGTGCTCCACATGCACAAGCGATAAATACGGCTTTGTCTTCCTTGATGGATTTTTAATGTTTGCCTCGTGTTTGATCTGTTTCCTCAGAGCGCCATCTATCACCCGTTTTTGGATAGCTCCCAATCAGAAAACAATAACATCGTCTTCATAAGGCCGACACGATCAAGAAACCGGAGCCAGAAATTTATTAGGAAAAGGCGTCACATGTTCAAATCCCAGTTGGTTCAACAAACACCAGAAAGTCACTTTCCTCCCGTGCCGTTAACCCTTAAAATAAAAAAAATAAAAATAAAATGTAGAAACATTTTAGTGTTTTTGCATTTAGAGAGTGTAAACCAAAAAACAGCATGAATTATTTTCAAACTGAAATGGACAAACATTTTTGGTAGATTTTATTAACATATTTTTTTATATATATATAAACAAGAAAATACATATTTATTCTGACCTTTAGTGCCTTGATAATTGAAAAGACAGATCTGTCTCCAAAGACCGTTCATCAGAAACAGAATCAAATGGGTCCCAAACCTGTTAACTACACTGAATGCCACAATTCATGACCGGATTAAAACTAGCGTTCAGTCAATCAGTCGGGTTTGTTTCCTTGCACATTTCAGCAACAATGCAGTTTAAAATGCTTTAAAACATAAAAACACAAAAACACAACAGAACAGACAGTCAACAATTGAAACATTACATTTTACCAAATGCAAAATCTAAAACATTGCTTTTCTTTTTGTTTTTAAACACACTTATTTTTATTATCCAGCTAATTCGGCTATCATACAAAAGTCACCGACGTATGACTTCTTAAAAAAAACGATTTCATTTATCATGGAGAAAAGGACAGAAAGGAACTTTTTCAACATGCTTTGAACACTGCGGCCTGGACGGCAAGTTTCCAAAGGCTGGACTGCTGCACCACGACGAGGACGCCATGACGATTGATGACCTCGACCAAAAGGACACTGGCTCCACTGACCAATTTGATATTTTCGAAAATGAAACCAGCTGGAAGGAAACGCTGCAACTTCAACAACAACAACAAAAACTCTTGTTGTGCCGCGAGGATGAGGTCAAAATGGGATCATTTCACAGAACCATCACATCACACGAGTCACGTGACCAACAACCAGACGTTGACACAAAGAAGGCGACAGACAGGAAGTAGTCGGAGGATGATGGCTCGGCGCGTTTATCAGTGACTCATCGTGAGAACAGACGTATTTTTCACATGTTGTGACTTTCACTGTGTTTCTTATTTAAGGCAGACACCACAATTGCCAATTGTAAAATGTTGCACAAATTTGTAATGGGAACGCAGTGAGAGAGAGAGAGACGACACAGGAGAAAGCGAGGGAGGACATATTGTTGCTTTTTAAAGAACAGTAAAGGGCAAAGCACTGCACTGCCACAACATTCACTAGTTTTTGTCTAGTTGCTGGTGCAAACATCTTAGTGCACACGAATTAAGACAAAACTTACTGAAAAGGGTAACACTTTATTTGAAGGGGTGTGCATAAGACTGACATAACTCCTTATGAATGTTTATGTCTGTTGTCATGAAGTGTCAGTCGGTAAATAATGACCCGTTTAAAGTAAATATGCATTAAAAAATGCATTCAAAGTGCATTAACTTAGCACTAGTTGGAAAATGACCATATTTTAATGAAACTTTGCATTAAAACTGACAATAAAAGTGAATGAAAAGAGTCAACTTTGCGTTACCAGATGACATTTCATGAAAACAGTCGTAAACATTCATGGAGACTCTTTCATGTTCATAACAGGTGTTACGTCGGGTTTATGACAGTCTCATGCAAATACCGTCAAATAAGGAGTCACCCTTAAAAGCATGTTTTCAGCTAGCTATAGCAGCTTGTCTTAAATAAATAATTCCTTAATATTGATAAAAAAGTATTCGCTTCATTGGCAGATTATTTCACTTATAACATGGGGGAAACGTCTTGTTATAAGTGAAATAATCTCCCAACAGAACAAGTACTTTTTAATTCCTTAATAATCAATATTAAGGAATTATTTACTTCAAATAGGTCTCTATATCTTGCTAAAAAGTTACTTTTAACTTTTTAGTTACTGGACAAAATTTCTTGGTGGTATTTTGTGTTTTTGCAGAGGCTCCAGCAGGCCTCAAACGCAGCAGGCAGCCACCGAGGCGCCGCCGGGGCCCCGCGT